TTGTTTTGGTGCTCTGTGTGAGCTTCCTGTCCCGTCCCCAGTTTGTGCTCTAAGTGGGCTTTGGTTTTCGTGTTCTGGATTTTTGGATTTTGGCTTCTTGCCTTTTTTTTTGGATTTAATTCTGTTTATCCTACAATAAAAGGATTTTTTCTTCATATCCACTCCTGCCTCGTGTCATCCTGGGTTCTGCATTTTGGGTTCTAACATCCCTCCAACATGACAAGTTCTAACAAATTATAGCTATACACATATTTTGGGAATAAAACAAAATGAAGTGGTTCTCTTGCAAATTGTCTAAAAACCTCAGCCAATAAAATGGTTCAGTCCAAAATCAACGATTGGACTATCTGGTTGTTTGACTCAATGAGCCACTACACTTCTACACTTCCCTGGGTCCTCCACTCAGTACGCCTGTACATATTTAGCAGCAGAACACCACTGGTGTGAGAGGTTCATGGCTCAATAAAATCAGAGGAACTGAGAAACTGCCGGCTGCTACCACTTCAACTTCAGAACAAACTACCAGAGTTCCAAAAAGAAAAATACCCTTTGAAGTCATGGGCAACAAAAGACGTTTGAACCTAGAAAACGATGACTGGTGTTAAGCGCTGTCTAGTTTCCTCTTGCAATGTGGGCTCTGGTATCAGGGAGTCGTGGCCCAGAGATGATAGCTGACAGGAGAAGTGAGTGTTCTGTGACCATGTTTGTGTTTATAAGTTAGCTTGATTTGCAAATTTTCTGTTGCAACTTTAGGCCAGACTAGATTTGTAAACATTTGCAAAACTAGTTTACAATGGGTTAAAATAAATTAAATACCTTTAAAAGCTGTCAGGTTTATCTTGGCTTAGAAAAGATTAAAAAACATCATGCAACCATGCCTCAGTCAAATGATGAAATTGTATTTAAAGATACTCTTGTGGAGCACTTTCACTGTTTTGCATTCTGATCACAATAAAAGATAAAATATTTCATCTTTTCACGTTTTGTTCATTAGAGCCAATGCAAATTGTCATTTATGTAATTTACATGAGACAGTTTTCAGAAATGAAAATAAAATAGAAAAACGATTGTTAAAGCTATATTTCTCGCCTGAAGGACATGAGTAATTGTGAGCTGAAGGTTTTGATTGGATGTCTTAGAAGTTTCTTAAGGCTCCTTCTGAAACCAAAAATTACAGGACAAGCAAATGAATAATTTGAACCCTCAAAATATGTCATAAGAAGACACAAAAACATAAGATCGAAGTTCAAGTGAGTTTCAAGCCCCGCCCCTTCATGTCAACTACTGGTACTTATTATAATTGTTTTTAAATCAGGTGATGACCTTTGTTGATTCTAATAGTTTTTACTTTGCTGTTGCAAAATGAAATATTATTTTTTCTCTCTATATATTTAACTATCATTGGTAAACTGATGCTTAAAAACTAAATTATTTTGTAAATTATAAATTTATTAGTAGTCGGGTGTGTTCACTCTAGCCCAAAATAAGGAACATAGGTGCACACGTGTATGGGTTATCTCTGGCTTCACTTTTGGTTTTCATCATACGACGGATGCTATAAGGTTAGCGTAAATAAGCTTCCTTTATGTTTACTAATGTTAAAGGGATATGCAAATTTCATATTTTTAAATAATTTTCTTGAGCTAATATGTGCTAAAATGACCCTTTACATAGATAATGAAATGCCACTCAGACCCCACTATTCTCTGTGGCCAGAATACCACATTTGCAACTTGAGAGTTGGTGGACTTCTCCCTGCTGGTGGAGAGAGCTGTGGAGCTGACATGGTGGAGCTGCAGTCTGCTTCCAGCATGTTTCTTGCATGTTTTAGATCATGAGCACAGTTGATTTGTTGGATTTAGTGATGAACCGCTTTTCTAGAAATGAATAATAGCTTAGGAGACATTTCTGCTGTTAGATTAAGGTTTTAAAAAGACAAACTCACAGCATGTGTAATTTTTTGTTAACGACAAAGAATTAATAACAAATTCTAGAGGGTGCTAAAAGCAAGAAAAACATTCTAGTAACCCTTTGAACCAAATTAATCCACATTATCACATTTCTGTTCTCGGTTAGCTGTCCGGGGCTGGAGGCTAGGAGTGGGAGCTGGCCGTCTGGTTGGGGTCTGAGGTGGTGTGTCGCTTTGCTCTGCGTTGGGCGGGTACCTGCTCATCATTACCCCAGCAGAACAAGGCTAGCTCTGGTTTCCCGAGAATGGCTGTGCCTTCTGTGCAGCAGTACCAGGACAAGAGTGAATAGGGTGTGTATGAGGAGCGTGAGTGGTTGTATGACGTACATTCTTGTAAGTCTTTAGGTCGTATGTGTATATGTGAGCATGAGGGAGGGAGCATGCAACTGTGCTTGTGTGTGAATGTATATATCACGTAGGTTCTTGGACTCCTCCCCTCTCCTGGGACATCTTTTGGTGCTACAACCTCTTCAGCTACCCTCCCCCTGCTGCTTTTTATGCCGGTGGGTGGTGCCTGAGTCTACCTGCATATCAGCAGCTCCTGTGTTGGGAGTGAGAAGTTTTTGGCATCTGTCAGGTCGCTCCCGGTGGCTGCCTGGTGGGGTCTGGATCCCTGTACTCTGTCGGGTCCCAGGCGGGGTTGGTCACGCTTGGGTCCTGGGCAGCTGCGTTCATACCTCGGCCAGCTCGGAGGTGGGTGGCTATGGGTGGGTCTGGGGGCTTGCCGTTGTTATCTCCCAGGGCTCTGGGGGCTGGTTGTGACCGCCGGGGTAATCCTCTGTGCCTCAAGGGGGGGAGGTTGGGGTTTCTCCGGCAGCTGTCTCCTTGGGGTTCCTGCGCTTCGGGGAAACTCATGGATGTCTAGCACTTGGAACTCTTCCATCTTCTACAGGTCTTTGGAGGCAGGTCTGTTACCTCTCACACTCTTTATTGGACACTCCTAGAGAGAAACCTTACATACACACGCATGTGTACACAAACAGGTGCTAACATGGTGCTCTCACAATGATGGACTTGGGCCTTTTTAACACATCACCTGTGTGGTGGCTGTGGTTGGCACTAAATACACTATGAATTATTACTGTGTGTTTCTAAACAAAAATTGTTACTTTTATATATCCTCATGTTGTTGGAGCAGGGATATTTTGGTCTTGTTGCATTTTTGTGTCCCCTTTCTCTCTCTCTCTCTCTCTCTCTCTCTCTCTCTCTCTCTCTCTCTCTCTCTCTCTCTCTCTCTCTCTCTCTCTCTCTCTCTGCAGGTCTAGAAGCAGATTCTTGCTCATCACAAATTGCTTATTTTTGTGAACCCCTCCCCCACCTCTTCCATTTCTCTCCCCCCTTGTCTTACACTTCCGTCTCCAAACATATTCCTAACGTTGTTTTGGCATCAGGAGTGGCGTCATTGGCCCTTTGCACCGACATCACCTAATCACGTGGGGTCCGCCATACTGGACGGTAAAAGCATGTAAACAGTGTGCGACATGAGTACTAAACAAAGGGAAACGTAGAGCTTCACCGGAGTTTCAACGTGTGTAAACGATCTTGTTGCCATCCATCATGGCAAACGGGGCGGTCCCATGAGTTGCGTGACGTCAATAGCAGAAGCTATAACGTTCCACCAGTGAGAGTAAAACTGCTAGGCTTGTCTTCGGCATTCAGACATCAATTCTGATCAGTTCTGACCGTTGTGTTTATAATAGAATGAAAGTGATACAGTATTATTAAAGAACTATTGGAGACAATAGAATGGGGAGTTCCCATTAGCTTATTTAAAAATGCTTGAGCAAAGTTTATTTTAACATCTCCAAATGTAGCTCAAAGGAAACCAACAAAAATAAAGAAACAAAGAAATGTTTAAAATCATTTTAAAGTTTCTGACTATTTTTCCACATAGGCAGCAGCTTTGTCCCTTTCTTCTCCCACTCCATTTTCCTTCAAAACCCAGTCTATGCTTTGAGAATGGGCCAAATGGTTGGGATTAAGTGCTTGAGCACAGAAGAGTAGTCCTATTTACCAGGACACTTGCTTCTTTGATGGGTGCTGGCTTTGGACCTCTCACACAAGAAAAGAACAAAACTACAGGTTTTTTTTGCCTGCTTTAAAGCTGTCTAGATCTTGGCTGAAGCAGCCTTTTTGTTCTAAGATGAGGAGGGATGCTGTCATTTAAGATGAAATGTAAAGAAGAAGGTGGGTGTGATCTTTTTTAAATTTGACTTCAGAACTCCAGGGCCAGTCAGACAAGGGTTTTATAGATTTGACTCCCATTGGAAAAAAAGTGGATTAAGAAAACAAAATCTTTAAGCGTTATGCATCTCTTTATTTCTATTTCTTTCAGGGCTTTAATCCCTGCACCCCCTCAGTCTGTCTGTTGCTGTGACTGAATGGCCCCTCGTCCAGCTGTGAGCTTACAAATAACGGTCCAGGTACCTATCTGGACCCAAAGAAAGGCTTGAATGAAGGGCCTTGGCTCTAAACCCTCTAATGCTGAGAATAGTCCACAATAGCTATCACTTTTGGTGAATTTCCTGGTTCAGTGAGTGAACATCATGCTGTTTACTTTAAGGTCACTTCTATTGAACAACAAATTGTTGATGCTTTAAAATATTTTAAAATCACAGCTGTAGAGGACAGCTTCCTTTTTCCAGCTCTTTTAAGGGAGATTTAACCAGAGTCCCACACGGTTCACAGCTTTGAAGCATCACCAGGGATTATGAGGTGACTTCTGCCATGCTTTTCAAGCATGACCAGAAGGTGCAGGCAGTTTTGACCTGAATACGAGCTTTAAATGGGGGATGGCATTAAAATTCAAGATGCAGTCACTTGCAGCCACCAAGTCTCTTTATGGTCACTTCCTTTCAGCTGGGCCTCTCATCTAACTGTCTTATCGTGTGACAGGCGTTTGATCGATGAAAACATTCACTTCACGACAGATTTAATTTTCTTTATAAGGGCAAATGTTTCTACTAGCCTAATATGGTAAAAAAAAAACATTTTGTGACGATGATCTTTCTGTTTTTTCTCTGTCCTACAGGAAAGACTGGAGTCAGAGGTCAGTGAGCTCAGACACTTTCTGTCCACGGACTCACGCTAATAACAGAATTTGGACGCATCTCTCCAGAGAGACCTGGCTTCTGCACAAAGTCTTCTGGGTGCATAGAAAGTCTCATCTCTTCAAACGTGCTGACTCATTTTAGAGCAAAGGCCTGTGGAAGCAGAATGAGTGAAACTTGGTGGTGCCCACTGGGCCTGTTCTTTTTGATAAGCTCAGCCTCCACCCATAGTTCCACCAATCCTTTTGCAGGACAACAAACCCCTCTTGACCCATGCTATGACGATACAGGAGCAGCCCGCCGCTGCATCCCTGAGTTTATCAACGCTGCTTTTGGTAAGGATGTGACTGTGTCGAGTGTCTGCGGCCGGCCTCCATCCCGCTCTTGTAGTGTTGTTGAGCGAAGTGATGAGCGGCCCTCTGTACGCACGTGCCAAATCTGTGATGCATCGGACCCCCGCCGTTCTCACTCTGCATCCTACCTCACCGACCTCAACTCGGCCCACAACCTCACCTGCTGGCAGTCGGAGAATCTGAACACCTCTCCACACAATGTGACCCTTACCCTGTCATTGGACAAAAAGTTTGAGATCACTTACGTTAGCCTGCAGTTCTGCTCACCACGTCCAGAGTCCCTGGCCATATATAAGAGCATGGACTATGGCAAAACATGGATGCCCTACCAGTTTTACTCGTCACAGTGCAGACGTATGTACAACAGGCCAAACAAAGCAACCATTACCAAGCAGAATGAGCAGGAGGCCCTTTGCAGTGACGGACACACTGACCTGTACCCACTTTCTGGAGGTCTCATTGCTTTCAGCACTCTGGATGGAAGACCCTCTGGAAAAGACTTTGACAACAGCCCTGTCCTTCAGGACTGGGTCACTGTCACTGATATACGAGTGGTTTTTAGCCGGCCTCAGCTACCGCGGGAGCTTCCACTGGGCTCCGGAAGCAACAATGGGGGGAGGGACGATGACCCAATGGCAGTGACATCAACACTGCCAACATATTTCTATGCAGTTGGAGACTTCCAGGTGGGTGGGAGGTGTAAATGCAATGGCCACGCTTCCCGCTGTCTGAAAGACAAGGATGGCAAACTGGTGTGTGACTGCAAACACAACACAGAAGGGCCTGAATGTGACCGCTGCAAGCCCTTTCACTACGACCGGCCGTGGCAGAGGGCCAATGCTCGAGAGGCCAACGAGTGTCTGCGTAAGTGTTTCCCTCTCTGCCATTCTTTCATTATAAACATGTAGATAAATCTGAGTTTTCAGTGCTGCAGCCAGAAAACGAAGAGGGGGAGGTACTGAGCACATTTATTCAAACACTCACTGAAAAACAAGTACAGCTGTGCTGATTCCAACTTTTCAAATGATGCCTCTTTCAAAGGTTTTTGAAAAATACCCTCAGGCAGTAAGCGTTTGAAATTGTGCTTGAATTGATGCAAATCCCATTTGATTCAAATTCTTCTCATCTGGATTCTCATAAAGGACTTTAACGCAATCACTGAGCAATCTGAACTAAAATAATTTTGTTGTCTTAAAGGGGCCATTTCATGGAAAATCAACCTTTTTGAGCTTTTTACATGTGATGTTGTTATTTCCTCTTGAAAAAAAAAACATTTTTGGCTGCATTCATGCGTTTTCCTGTTTCAGCTGCAAATTTAGTTTCACTTTTCTGTAAAGCATCAATGGGAGCTGATTTTGCTGTCAGGCCCTGCTCCTCTCCCCGGAAGCTAGCCTCTGGTCTGAAACCTGTCTCCTCTGGCCAGCTCAGGATATGTGGCTTAGGCGACTGGTATCACATAACTGACTTGATAGTCTGGTGGTTGGAGTGCTGGGCTTGTGTGCAGGTTTTCATTCTAGTCTCAACTGTAACAGTTTTTCTTCTTTTTTTTAGCCACACTTGCATATATTGTGTTTGAAACCCTTTATTGGTAAACTGTTTAAGAATTAAGGACTAATTAGTTTTTTTTTTTTTTTTTTTACTTTCTTTAGCCGTTTTTACAAAATAATGCCGTGAATTTGCCGCAACGCCGTGGCAGCATCGGGGACCCTTAGGTCATTTATGAGTGGTCAGACCATGGGGGTAATGTGGTGCAGTTATGCCCTTTTTATTAAAGATTAGGATGATGGCGGCATAAAGGGGGTATGGGTCCCTGTGATGCGCGGACTTCCATTTATCTTGGATATAACTTGCTTTTTTTTGTGATTGAAGCCGTGATCGTTACGTTTTTTTTTAACTCCTAAAGGTGTCTGTCCCCATCAGTCCCTGTGCAGTCTCTGGTGATCTGAGCTTCAGCTCTAACAGAGACGCTCATGGAGTGCTGTGGCGCTCCAGTTTGCCATCTCTGTTGATTTAGCTCAAAAAGCAAAACTTAAGGTCCATGTTTACTTTCATTTTGAATATATTTACCGGCCGGAGCTCGCCATTAACTCCCCGCATCTTTTGCACAATAGCTGTTTATAAGTCAGACCGTTACCGCAATGTTACTACCAAGCGAGGCGGAGCGAATGTCACAAACTTTGCGCAACGCCATGCCAGCAAGGCGCGTTTATAAGACACACTGTTGCAGTAATATTACGCCAATTTGCCGGCATAGTTAGTCTTGTAAAAGGAGCTTTTGTTTATTTAATCAGTGTCCATGTGAGGTGAGCAGAGTAAGTAAACAAAAATTCTGTTTAGAAATGACCAAATTTAAAGATCTTAAGAGACAATTTTTTTTTTCCAGAAAATAGTCATTAAAACTGAAATATAAATTGCTTCAGCTGGATACATAAATTAGTGTCGACACCTCGTCAGCACATGGCAAAACTAAGAAGGCAGACAGATAACTTATCCATTGGACAACCATATCCAATATAGTAACTGTAAGACGCTCTTGTAGGCACGGTCATGTCAGAGCTGGCATGGGCGGAGCTTTACTGGAATGAAGTGCTTTATTTCTGGGTGTAAATTCAGGCTGACAAAAATAACTTGTATTTAAGATTGATTGTTTCTTACGTGGAGAATCTTGATCAGTAACTTTTTGCTCTTGATTCATACCGTCTTGTTTCTTGGTGACACATTTTTTACTCATGATAAATACCTTTTACTTCTGTTTTACACATGTTGCTTATAGTCTATAACTATAGTGGTGGCATACAATGAATTTTTGTACTGTGGGCCAAGTAAACCTAGAACAAACCAGGTGGGTTTGTGTTTTGTCAGGAGAGAAAAGTATTGGTGCCGTGGATGAATTCTGTTATAAATCTTATTAAAACCTCTGAAACTTGAAGTCATAAATAGCCTCTTTGGCAACTATCCTTCACCTTTCAGCATTCAAGAACCAGAAGAGCCATTATGCTGCTCAAACCAAAACATTGTTTCTGGACAATAAAATCTCATTTGCACAAACCAGTCCAAACAGTAGATGACAACATGACTCTTTGGCACCTAGCTATGGCTAAGTCATCCAAGAATGTCATTTAGCAGTGTTTGCCTTTACTTCCATGTGATTTATTAAAGTCAGACTTACTTTAAATTTGGACTAAAAACACAATAAAAATTTCTGTGGTCACTTCTTTTTAACCTGATTATCTTTCTTGTAGTTGAACTATTTTATGATAACAGGTTTTTGCATCATGTTTGGTTTTAAATGTAATGAAGGGTTGGGATCATTTCAGTGCTACATAGTTTCCCTCAGATATGTTGATGTATCTTTGGTCAGTTTACAGCATTTCTCTGCTTGTATAAATAAACACAAGTTGAACTTAGGTCAATTTTACGTACCATTAGGAATAATAAAATAAAATCATATTAGTTACCACTGTCCTCATTTTAACCTTTCCTCAGTGGAATAAAATTACAGCCAGAGAAAGAGAGAAAAAACAGAAGTCAAACGCTGAAAAAATACTGTATATTTTCCTAACATGTTGTAATTGCCCAGCGATCTGGCCCGAGAGCATATTTAGCACTGAGCAGAGCCAGATTTGTATGAAGGGGACTGAGAGTGACAGAGCCAACACATCTCTCCTCACTTTGGTTCTTCATGTCCCTGAAGCTCTCGTTTATTTAGCTCACAGATGCATGCAAACTCACAAACACACACTTATACATACATACACACACGCCCGCATGCTCACACCCCAACTGCTTCCATAACAATATCCTGTCAATCCCTCTGTGTTTTCTCCTTCGTGCTGCTGCACACACCCTTTTTTAAATCTCCCGTAGCTGTTTCTGAAGTGTTATACCTGCTTTCCATAAAACTCTCCTCTGTGGGATTTACATGTCACTTCTATCCAGAAGTTCTGGACAAAACTCACAGATTGTTCTGGCCAATGTCAATGACCTACTCCCTTTGCTGATGCAGTATGGTTATTACTTTTTACCCGTTGCACGCTATACCTGCTCATTCAACCAGACATGCCAAAAAGTCAGTCCCATTTGTCCCCAGTGTTATGTTCCAGGTGTCGTTTAACACCGAACCACATCCAACATATCTCAAATAGGAGTCTTTGGTTAAAAGTTAATTTTATGTAACTTGAAGTGAATTTGTTTTGCCCTTCTGTATCAAGTGAGTGTGTGTGGCTGTGACTGTGCATGTGTATGCATGTGTGTGCATGTGCGTGTGAGTGCCTGTGTGTGTGTTTGTTTGTTTGTATGCGTGTGTGTGCGTGTGTGGGTGTGCATGTGTGTGTGAGTGTGTGTGTGTGCATGTATGCAGTGATGGGAATAACGCCGTTTAAAATAACGGCGTTACTAACAGCGTTCTTTTTTTTTTTTTGGGTAACGGAATAATCTAATTAATTACTTTTCCCACTGTTGTAATGCCGTTACCGTTACTGGGGACGGAAGGTTGTGCGTTACTATGTACTTGTCGAACATTGAACAGCAGTGTGAGGCTTTCTGACCGCCACACTTCAGCTGCAGCCAGGAAGAGAGGTGTCGGTAACGCGTTGATGATTGGCCGGGTGGGCGGAGACCCTCAGTGTTATCACTGTCTCTGTCATTGCATTGCTGTAGACCCCACAGAGCAGTGATGGGAATAGCGCCATTTAAAGTAACCGCGTTACTAAATAAAAAAAATTCTTTCAGTAACAAGCAAACTAATTAATTACCGTCTTCTTTTATCATAACGCCATTTCTGTTACTGATAAGAGAAAGCGTGCGTTAAGCGGTGCGGTGTGTTGAAGCTGTCATCAGCTGATCAGGAGCTAAAGAGGCAGATGTTTTCATCCAAGTGCATCACGGCCCGTGAAGAACGAGGAAGACGTGATGAATAGTCTACGGCTGCAGGTGTGGATCTGCAGCCGTGCCCTTCTTAGCGAGAGAGCGAGACCTCCCGAAGGTCCGCTCACCTGTTCACCGCTCAGACGCAACAATCTTCTACCTTCCTAGATCATCCAGCTGTAACCTGTTTCTGATCATGTCTTTAGTCCCGCTGTAACACTGATGCATCAGTCTCAGACGGCATGGAGCTCAGGTGTTATTAGAACTACCTGTGTGTGTTTACCACCCAGCTTCAGCTCTTCTGTGGTTGGGTCTGACCCAAGTTAGTAAATGTAAGTCCTCCATCAGGCTTGTGCCTCTTCTAGTGTCATTTTAAAGGACTTTATTTATTTATTTAACCATTACTAGATTACCAGCAACAGAAATGCTGCTAAAAACACATAATTATGTGAAGCTGGAAAAATTAAAATGCTGTGCAAAATTACATTCATTTCTGTGATTTAACTAGACTGAGAAACCATTTAAAGGCTCGGGAACCTTTACAGGTGTTACTATTTGCAATTTAAAATTTTAGCTGATTGGGGTCTTGTTAAATATCACACAGTGACCTTTTAATAGTCTAGATAAGTGTAATGTTCCTGTTAGTAGTTCCTCCTGTTAAGTGCTTATTTATTTAAATTTTGCAGGTTTATAAAAAACATTTGGACATACATTTTATTATGTTCCAGTCATTAGTCATTTATATTTCACTGTTGTAGTAATTTATAGCAAATTAAGTAAGTTCAATTAACCCATTTTTTTGCATTCTTTAATGAAAAAAGTAACTAAGTACTTATTTTTCTTGGTAATTAGTTACTTTTATAATCTCATAACTCAATTAGTAACTGAGTTACTTTTTGACAAAGTAATAAGTAACTATAACTAATTACTTTTTAAAAGTAACATTCCCAACACTGCATGTATGTATGTATGTGTGTGCATGCATGTGTATGCGTGCA